ATAAACAATAACTCGTCCTCTAGTTAAATAACCCAACAGTACAGCATGAATCATGAACCCTGAAATAATGTGAACAAAATTTCGTCGACACTAGCACCCAGTGTCACCAACATGGACTAGACACGAAAAATTAGCTTCAAATTTTACAATGGGTTGAGAAGTCTACTTATGTTGATTAGTCCATAGTCTATGATTCTAATTCCATGCCAAATTCACCAAAACTTTATCTAATTACGTAAAGACTCACCGGCTACAACCACTCCTAGAGGTAGACCTACTGTTATCCCAACCATCTTGTTACTTGAATAGACAACACTGACTGTCGTACAGTGGACTCTGTCCTTTAAATAGAAGGGTGCACAACATACGCTAACCTGCAATGGGATTTCCTTAGAGGAAACCCAAGAGATCAGGAAAAGATTCACAACCATCGCACTGTGGCGAGGGGAAGAAAGATATTTGACTTACAACTCTGTCACACGTATTGGACTTGGGAATCAAAGTCCTCAAATTAAATCCTCAGGTTAAATCAATGTATTGTATTATACAATAGAGGTGCTTGTGAACATAATGTTTACATACATTTAATGTTTAATAATTACATTTAGGTTATGCTTAATGTTTTGATAGACTGAGGTTATAGGGTTTGCACAACTACATAGTTGATTGCATGAATTTAATAGGAATTCATAAAACTGGGCGGTATAACAACATATATTTGACTATGGACAGAACTAGGTTTCTTCATTCTTATGTTGTAGCTAGTTTTTACTTTCTCCCCCTATACAATGGGGAAAGTATTGTTTTCGTCAAAATGTTTGAGTTTTGAGTGGATAGGCTATATCCGTTTGGGGCCCCCTGAACCCAAAAGTGGTTTTCGAAGTGATGTCTGTCCGTGTGTGTGTCTGTCTGTATGTTTCGAATGTGTACAGAGCTACAGACCTGTGGGCAGATTTTGACGAGATTCGGTATATTAATCTATAGTAACTTATCTAAAGGCGTTTTTTATTTTTTAGAAATTTTTATTTTTATGGTCATTTTCCCGTAAAATAACGGAAAATCGCAAGATCTCGAAAATGGCCCCAACGTTTATGATAAAAATGTTCCCTCTAAATTCTGTACAAAATGGTAAAACTTCCATTCCTGTTCAAAAGTATCGTGATTGTAACTTATGTCATTAAGGAAAAACCCAAAATAAGAGAAAATCATTTAAAAAAAAAATTATGTTTTGATATAAGTTAGTATTGGATAAAAAGGTTGTTGACAAGCTAATGGGAGAAAGTATGTGTCAGATTGTTGATACCATTTATTTAATTAAATGAATGTAGTTGAATTGAAACACAGCTAGTGCACTGATGTCCATTACGTTGGTTTGATGGTTTCTGTCGAATACACAAACTTTAACAACGCCAAACTTGGAGGAAATTTGACCCTTTAAGCTGTTTAACCCAAACATGAAATGACGAGTGTGAGATATTTCGTGTATCTTTACCATGACTAATAAATATTATAAATGTGAAAGTTTGTGTTTGTTTGTTTGTGTGTTTGAAGTTCAATCACGCATAAACCACTGGACGGATTGGGCTGAAATTTGGCATGATGATAGCTTACATTCCCGATTAACATATAGGCATATTCTTATCTCGAAAATCCTTTCGGGCTCCGTCCCAGTGGCTCTGTAATTCCCCATTCCTATTTAAAGGTAATTAAAGAATTTAGTCAGCTGTTTCAACTAAAAAAGTTGGTTCTATGAAAAAAAGTTATAAGATTTACCAACAGGGTGCAGCACTATATTTTTTTGCATTTATGAAAACAGCTAATTTGAACTAAGCAGCAACAAAAAACTGTAATTCACAATGAGAACTGTCAAAGTAGGATTGTTTACAGTTATGTTTATGTTTTTCATTTCATGAATAATTTGTGATAATTTGCGAATTGTTGATAATTTATTTTTCTCTATTCTTTGGGTGAAGTGGTAGAACATTATTATGGCTATGGTAGATGTGTAATCCTAATGAATATTGTAAATTTAAAAAAGCAAATTTTATCAAACTGTGTCCTCCCTTATTGCAAACTTGAGTATAACTGCAGTAAGCATTTTATACTTATATTCCAACCCCGTACGAAGAACGGGTACTCTGCTAGTTTCTTTATAAATTACTATCCATCAACGGGGGTTGCAACTGATTTCTGCAGTCAATTTAAAGATACGCATTACAATCTCTTTTGTGTAAAAACACCAAAAACAGTTTTACTTGCTCCTCTCATTCTGAGAAAGTGCCGTTTCCGTCATCATTTTTTATTTGGATTATTCGTTAACATATTCGTTAAGAGCCCTCCTAAACCCCAAAATTTGATTCGAAGTGATGGTCAGACACATGGTTAGAGTTCAATAAAATTCGGTATGTGGTTAAATATTTAGCTCCGTATATACGATGTCATTTCAATAGGATGATAATTTTGTTTGCCTAGTTCTTACCATGAATTGTATTTTGCCATTTTCTCTCAAGCGTCCTTGGGGGACCAAATATTTTTTTCAAACACCAAAGTGATTATAATTGAAATACCTAGTATACTGTGCGTACTGTAAGATTAGAATAGTTATTTGTGTAACTAGTGTGCGAAGTGGCACTTTGCTGCACATGAGAGAAATGTTAACGCACGAGCCGCAGGCGGGTGTGGAAAGTTTCTCGAATGCAGCAAAGGCAATTTGCGCTCGTGTTACACATTATATTTTTTCTACAGTTATTACTATAAAGCATAGAAATACTTAGTATTTCAAACACTATAAAACACGTTCTATGTTAGGTTAAATCCAAGCGTTGAAAGAAATGAAAATCACTGCATCAGTTGATCGTAGTCGTAGTATCTTTAAGCTTTAAGTCCTGTCAACTTATTAATGCGTATTACGTGCCTAATTGAACTGTTTTGTGTTGTTGGAATGGAATACTGGTGTGCGGCAAAAAAAGAGTGCGCCAAAAGTAAGTAAATGCAGAAATTCGCAACTTTCTGTCCTTTAATCAGTGCAAGGAAGCCCACTTTGTCAGGTGACTGTAGGAAAATGTTCTTAGTAGTTTTGATTTGTTCTCCAAAGGAGTCCATGTAAGCTAATTGGTTTACAAGTTCCATTAAACTATTTAAACTGTATTGTTGGAGTGGAATTAATTAGGCCGTTTTCCTTCTCTCCAGAAAACTGGATTATGACGTATCCAGATGTAGAACTCTCCACCTCCAAACCGCGATGACTCAACACAGAGGATAACATTTCCTTGTGCGTGTGTTTTACAGGCAAACCTGGCTGACTTTGCTAAATGTAACGATGTGATACTTTTGGACTGGCACGGTGGCGTCGTCCTGTAATCCAGCTACTAGGAGGTCACGAATTGTGGATTGATTTCATATGATCAGTAACAAAATGCTTAGTGTGAGGAAGAAATTAGTTAGGTACTTTGTATCTTTTTTATAGGTACGTAACTACGCATAAAAACACACAAACAAATCTCTTACCTCTTGTTGGATTGTTTCTCTCGGTTGGTACCAATGAACTTTTTCATTCATGGACAAAGATTGTGCCATTTTACTCGCACTTCCTTCAATTTTCTCCACAATTTTAGATTGCATTCATCGAGATCTAGTCATAGAACAAAGACTTTGGAACATATGACCATTGACTAATGGGTGGATACTCAGGTAGACATCCCATCTATATGGACTAGCTGTAGCCAATTTTTTTACTGAACTTAGTTGTGTGAGCCTGGGCCGAGCCAGTCACAGAATGCGCTAGTGACTAAAACTCTATTTTCTACCTTATATTTTGTTGCTGGCCAAGTTGGTGGGTCATAACCGTTGATATAGCTCACAACAAGTCATTCCATTAGTTTGAATTGGTAAAAAAGATTGTGTATTCGACAAAAATCAGTAATTTAGATCAGCACAATCTGTCGGTGGCTCACATCAACTACACAAATTTTGGTTAAAAAACTGGCTACAAATTTAACATAGGGATGGAATGTCTATATGACAAGTTATAGTACAATCTAAATCAAAATTTGTATGAAAATCTGTACTACATACACGCAGGAAATTGGTCATTGTTTGTACTAAAAATAATCTACAGCCCGCGCTATTGACCTACTGTAGTTTATGTGATGATCTAAAGATAGCGGAGTACCGTTACTCTGTAAACCATGCCGATGATATAAGCAATAATTTTGAACAAGGAAGGTTGTTTACATTGTATAGATCACATGGGCAAGTTCAAGTTGCGAGGCGATAACAATTTGGCTTTGCCTCGAAACAAAAATCAAGAAATTTTCTAATGTGTTCGTTTTTCATTTGAAATTTATTAGAAAATTTGTACTGTAGCTATTCTTTCATTGGGTACGATATTGAAATCTCATTCCCCGTTTTGAAATCATTACTCTTTCATTACAAGAATAGTTTGAATTTTGTATTCAACAGGTTGTATTTTAAAGAATTACATTTGTAGTCTTACACATGAACTTACGGAATTAGATTGTTTCATCTTGAGAAAAGGAATAATTTGTGCTGTTTGGTCAATAAAACCCTGTAGCAAAACGATTATTTTAGATCTAGTTTATGATCAATGTACAGAAAGATTCACAGGTTGAATATGGATTTTCCATAGTTTATTTTGAATTTTCCTACTTTAATACTTTAATCTGAAATTGCGACCATAACCATGGGTTGATTAAGTAGGTATTCTAAGCCAAGTAAGAATGGAGATGAGTGTAGGATGAGTGGCGCGATCTTGTAGCATTGACTATATCCACATATCTAAGGCCGACGTGTTCCATAGACACAGCTGTTAATTAATAGCCCATACAGCCAATGGCAACTTAGAGACCTACAGTTTAGGGGACCTATCTATCCATGGGCTGTTCGCCATTAATTTCAAGTTTTCGGTATCCTTTATTAATGTTTTACTCGACCCTTTTTAAATAAACACATCAATACACATGGAAAAGATACAGAGCACAATTGAAATATTTGTTTTATTAAAAAATTAATATAGATAAAAATAACAATAAATATTCGGTAAAACTTATAAATAAAGCAGTCTTATCAGATTTGTGATTAAGAGTAGTCGAGAGTTAGTTATCCGTTGCTCGCTCTAACACAGGCGCCCATCAGGATAATGTCAATATCTGCAACAGAACAAGAAAAAAATAAGTAAACAAGTCTGTGAAAAGATTGATATTTCCAGACAATTGTCAGGGAAACGTAAGCTAAACTATTTTTTAAACCCATGTCCATGGTAAAACGAAACCAAGATTGTTTTATAAATTAGTTACTTTAAAATCGTTCTTTTATAAGTTAGTAAAATGTAACTATATCACAATTTTGCCTGGATTCAGACTGGTTTATAATCCTGGGCTTCATTCGAACTTTGCATATTCGATTACCACAGTTTAGACCGCCCCTTCATGAAAATGAACATGTCAACGCGAGGTGTTTAACAAACACAGAAACACGACACAATAATTCCCACGATATACAAGTTTCTCGATATACCCAATCAATAGCAATTGTACAGTATACCATTCTGTTAGGTTGGATCATGTGTGTTCCTCATAATCCCGAATGTTAATTAGATGTGGTAGTCTTCAACATTGTTACTAGCACGTTGGTGTAGCATTGAAAACATCGATAATTGATCTGTTGATACCATTACCAATGTATCTGTTCCGTTACTGCTGTTATCTGTGACACTGGCCATTGCCTGATCTAGATATCAAAATCTTCACCAACGTCAGAGTATGTAGCTGTATGCTGTCGGTTTAACTGTTGCTCTCTCGGTTGGAAACATATTCAGTTTTAGAAGTTTTCATTATTAAGTGTGAATGTGAAAGATTCCACGTGACAATGAACCATTCTCTTGTGTTACTTATAACCAAAAGTAAATTTTTTAAATTGGTTTTTGCTCCATGATTAAAAAAACAACAATCTCCTTGGAGTATCATAAGCTTTTCCTGGCATAAAACACTAGATGAAATTAAGTATACGTTTAATTTCTATGAGATGGCATACAGAGATGAACTCTCAGCAGTAACTAGAGAATAACTTTTTACATAAAATGCAACACGCCTAGAAATAATCTTTATCTGACAACATGGATGATGCCGTAAAATTATTTCTGTCTCCAACCGCGGAATTCTACGAAGGTTATTAAGAAGTACTGTATTCTTATTTTATGACAACACTTAAAGCCATGATAAATTAACTAAGGATGATACATACTTGCTCCGCACTGCTGTGCGCATCGGAAGACACTGAGGTTGCCGTAGGTTTGGCCATCTGAGCCGCAGACGGGCGCGTACTGGCGGGTGTAAGGACACGGACAGGACACTGTGTACACTATACGGTTGGTCGGGTCCCTTGGTGGGATCCTTGTGGTGGTCACTGTAGTCGCAGGGGTTGTAGTAGTCACCCCCTGGTTTGGGGGAGCAACGGTGACTCCGGCCTGTGGGGTTGTGGGTTGATTTACTCCAGGATTGCCTCCGTTGGTTGGGAAGTTGTTTCCTGGATTACCTCCGTTGGTTGGTAAGTTGTTTCCTGGATTGCCTCCGTTGGTTGGGAAGTTGTTTCCTGTATTGCCTCCGTTAGTTGGGAAGTTGTTTCCCGGATTGCCTCCGTTAGTTGGGAAGTTGTTTCCCGGATTGCCTCCGTTGGTTGGGAAGTTGTTTCCTGGATTGCCTCCGTTGGTTGGGAAGTTGTTTCCAGGATTTCCTCCACTGTTTGGGAAATTGTTTCCTGTATTGCCTCCACTGTTTGGGAAGTTTCCACCGCTTCCTGGACGGAATCCTCCGTTGGTTGGGAAGTTTCCTGGATTTCCTCCACTGGTTGGGAAATTGTTTCCTGAATTCCCTCCACTGGCTGGGAAGTTTCCACCGCTCCCTGGACGGAATCCTCCGTTGGTTGGGAAGTTTCCAGGATTGCCTCCATTGGTTGGGAAGTTATTATTTCCAGGACGGTTACCTCCGTTCCCAGGACGAAATCCTCCGTTAGTTGGGAAGTTTCCAGCATTGCCTCCATTGGTTGGGAAGTTATTTCCAGGGAAATTGTTTCCTGGACGTCTACCACCGTTTGGGAAGTTGTTGGGATTTAAGTTTCCTGGAGGCCTAATGCCTTGGCGTGGTCTGGAACCTGGTCGACGTCCGAAGTTTTGGCGAACGTCTTCATCGTCTGACCCCTCATCATCAAAGTCTAGAAAATTAAAATAATATACAGTATATACTCGTCAAAAAATACAACAACATAGCCGTGATACAAGACAGATTAGAAATACTTTAATAAGTTTGAAATACTGTTACCAACGAGTCTCAATGAATTAAATTTCGACTAAAGTATATTTTATAATATGTAATTGGCTAGAAATATTACAAGTAGTTGCAAGAGTAAAGTATTTCAAATTGTAACAATTTCAATATTAATAGCTTTGAAACGCATGCTATACCTGTTTAAAATAGATTTAACAACAATTTATGTAATACAAAACAAGAAAACAATAGTTACCATCATTGTTGTCCTCATCAGGAAACCCAAAGTTGTTCTGTGGCGCGCTCTCCACCACAATTATTGCGAACGCTGGAAAACAACAGTTGATTATATACTGGTTAACAACTGAAAGGGGACTATTAGCTGCTGGCAATCACACGATAGTGCATTGCGCTTTTCAAAGATATTTTTGTTATATATTATCAGGGTGATCACTGACGTGATAAAGCGAAATATCAACCCAAATTTTGTTAAATTGCTACCACAGCTTTTTTTTCTATGACGTAAAATACATTGGATATATGAATTTAATCATATACAAATCGTTTTAGATCGAAAAATACTTTTTCCTCTGAAATAATTTTGTTGAATATACTAAGCCATCAAAACAGTCATGACAACTTGTTTCGGAGTAATAAGTACCGTAATTTACCTAACCAGTAGCTAACACTGTAAAAATAGCTATTTATTACCAATATTTTCGACTTTAAATTGATTCATTAGTTAATTCAATAGGAAGATGGATGAATACTTTGATACTTTCATTTCATTAACTTTTCAATTAAATGGCGACCATACAAAGTAGGTATTTAAGCCAATCGATATTGTGCGTATCTATTATTTAAGTAATTTGAAACACAACACAGTTTCAATCTACAAATACAAAAGTGTTTTTATTGTCTGATAATGTAGGCCTATAGAAAAAACTAGTGATGCAAATATAGAAACTATATTAACTTAATTAATTAATTAGGATTTATAGTATGATATCGTAATTTTTTTACTAAGATAACGTATTTGTCTAAATTTAAACATTAACATCAACTCAATGAATTTTTAAATTCATAATAGGAGCGTTTTGCAAAGTATCTTCTAAATTGTACTAAATTGTGAGTAATTTCCACTAAAATCAAAACAGCTATGTTGATGAGTTATTTGGATAAACAGTTGGACATTATAATCTGTAACTGATTTACAGAAGCTGCCCTAGGGTTTTTGTCTAAACCATTGTGCAAAATATGGGTTTCTTGCATGATCAAAACTCAAAACATTTTGAATAATCACACTATGTTTATAAAGATCCAGGGTACAGTTTCAGAACTGGGCTACGCTAATATTGATTGAAACTATCGATTCGATTAGTAAACCTTCATGCGATTTTTTCACCATCAGCAAGTTTGGTTGGTTAGGTTAGGTTATGATAGTTTAATTTTATAATAGATATATTTTAAAATATCGATTATTAATCAATATTATCAATTTGATAGTTTCAGTCAATATTACCGTAGCCCAGTTAAGAAACTGTACCCACCAAAACAATCACTCAGAGCTTATTACAAAAATGAGAAAATATAATAAGAAAGAAAAATAACAATAAAAATAAATGTTCGTCCATAAGTGCGCAAAAACCAGGCTACACTAGGTTTTAAATAATAATGCAACTGTTTTATTGTGCGAATAACTGTTACATTAATATGTAAATTGCGCTTAAAAGGGCATAATTGTTTATAAGATAATATATTGTTATAATATTTATCAGACCATGTTTACAGTGAATATTAGGTAATGTACCAAATTCGATTAGTTTTCGTTTAATGTTTATAAAAGTATGTAGCTTCACAACCCAATTGCACCACCTCTTTTGATATTTCTAAATTATCCACTTATATTTTTAGTTGCGGAATTTAAGTTTGTAAACAAACTCACGTTTCTTGTTATTTATAATTTTAAAGCAACCAAACTTAAAAACACTCCAACTGCATACACATAGTGAAATTCAGAAACCGATCTAAACCACTACAAATCCGACATGAATTAGTTCAGTTTTACAAACACCACTGTCTAATTACTCTACTAAACATAAACTTACCTATTAGCACAACACAGAACGAAGGGAAAGCCAACATGGCGCAGCCGAGAATAAACAATTTGCGTGTAGGTGTTGTCGGTCCAATCCTCCAGCGGGCAATAGCTTATATTCCTACTTCGGCGAACTGGTAACTATAGTCACAACAAAAAGAAAATATGGACATCCCAGTGACGTACACCCGCGTCAGCTGAGACGCGAATCAGCTGTTCCGCTGTTTGGACGTTAGACCGGTCTGTGAGCGAACTGGTTTGTAGGAATCGTTTTCTTCACTAATTTCCCTGTTGACCTTGCATTTTCCCCCAAACATTTCATTACCAGATTAACCATGAACTTGCTCGTGTTAGATAAGTTAAGCAAAAAGTTATCACGTGTTTCGTATTTTCCTTCTGATCGATTGAATAATGATTTAAAGAGGAGTGAGTTAACTTTAAATATAATACCTACTGTCAGATCTATTTTTGATTTTGTTATTTTAGGCATTAATTTGAATAAATTGTCAACAGGTTTACTTCAGTTTACAAAAATGCTAACGTTCTCCGTGACAGAAATTGTAATTGAATGCTGACGGAAGGATTCGATCGTAAGATCACCAACTTCAGACAACTGGTGCATTAATTTTAAGTTTATACTCCTCTTTGTTCCAAGTTTGAGCATACTGAAATTCCCTCCATCCATCTAAACAACATACACCTAATTTCTCAAGTGAAATACCACGAGGCAAGTGTACCAGTATATCACAGCTCACAGCTGAACTTGTTTTTGAAATTTTGCGCTCGCGAGGGAAAGAAAAAGAAACCTGATCCAAGGTGAAGGGTTTTGGCTCCATAACTCAGCTGATTTACCAACACAGACCACGGTATGTGGTTACTGATACATTATGTGGAGTGAGCCGCATAACTTGGCCACACGCGCAGGGACCTCACACAATATACAGGCTGGTACGGCGGTGAATTGATTTGATAACACGTATTTTTTGTGAATTGTGGAATGTGTAGTAGCGTAAATACTGTAAATTCTACCAATTCATCAAGAAAACATTTAAGAAAATGCTAAATTAATTGTTTCATTTTAACAATAAACTAAATAAAAAATACTCTTGAAAATCCTAAAATTAAATTAGACGGACCAGAAAGATCAGCTTTAGCGAAACATTGTTTAGAAAAATACCATACAATTAATTTCAATAAAAAATACTAATTCGCTGAAAAATGTAACCAAACCCAACGAACCTAAATCTTGGGAATCATTATTCATAAATAAAATAGACAATCTAGTAAATAAGATAATGGTCCAATTCAAAAGTAACATTACTAAATTCAAAATTACTAATTCCAAAATTAACAAAACTGTAAGAGTTAAACTAAACCATTAGACTAAACTTACTTCAGATTTTATTTTTGTATAGTTATTTATTATTTTTATTATTAATTATTTTTATAATCTATATAAATAAAATTAGAGTTTTGTCTGTACATTGCTTAGAATAATGAACTTTTTGGTTATTTTTACATTTCATAGGTCAGAGAAACCGAATCAAACCTTATCTCAATTTCTGTCTGTCTGTCTGTCTGTCTGTCTGTCTGTCTATCTGTCATTCTCTTGGTAACGCTAAAATACGCACTTTATTACAACTACTCCTCAATAACTATAGCACTGTCCCGCCTGAAACTTATTTTCCAAATACTATACATATATGAGATGGTTTTAGACGTATTTCATCGAATATGAGACAGTTAGATATTTAACAGTAAACCCTTGAAAATCAAGTTTTTGTCGATTTTTGACGTGGAATTTCTGGAAGCCCATGTTAACCTTATGAGAAATGAAATTATTGAATCTTAACAGCTGTTTCAATTAAACAAGTTGGTTCTGTTCTGTGATGTTCAATAGCATTAAAGTTACAAGGATTACCAACAGGGTGCAGCACTAGCACTATTATTTCTTTTACATTTATGACAACAGCTAATTTGCAACCTGGAGGCGAGTGAGCGTAGCGAACGAGCTAACCTGAAGGCAAGTGAGCGTAGCGAACGAGCTAACCTGAAGGAAAGTGAGCGCAGCGAACGAGCTCCAACATACAGGTGAGTGAGCGTAGCGAACGAACTTCAACCAGGACGTGATTGAGCCATGCAAACGAGATCAGATAGTAAAAATAAAAGTAAGCCTACCGTTATAGGATCGACCGGCAGACACAGAGGTAATTTAACCTTTTATTGATTGTCATACCGATCCGGAACAACAAAAAACAACATAAAATGAAGCTATGTATAATAGTTTGGCCAGCATATCTTAAAATATGCAAACCAACTGCTGTTCGTTATATAAGAAGGTTTCAACTGAATATTATAAGATCCCCGTGCGTAGAACGGGTACACAGCTAGTTTTACCTAAATGTACTTAACATAATATTCTTTTAACTTACCCTACCCATTATGTTTGTTATTTTTAAGATTTATTATTGTAAACATAACCTTCAGTTTTTGTGATGTGGCTGATGCATCGATCTCTATTACTACAACGGACAGCAATAGCTGGCGAAAGCACTCATAAGTTTTTTTTTTTAATATCGGGTGCAGTTTCTATTTTAAATTATTTTCAAACCAATAATAGTTGTTATTGTATTTGCTGAATGTTCTAAAAATTAACAGATTGTAAATAAAATTGTGATGAAAAAATAATATTAACAGTTTTTTTTGAAGATATAACGTGTGTTTAAAACAAGTTAATACTACTACTAACTGTAACAATTCACATTCATAAGCAAAATATTACGAAATAACTTTTTTAAAGTCATCACCACTAAGAAAGTTGATGGGCCCAAATTGGTGGGACCCAAATATTTTTTTAGGAAAAGTTTTTGCGTGAACTTTTTTAGTTTAGTGTGACAACGGTTTTTAATTTCAATTTTTCGCTTTTAAAGGAAGAATTCAAAACTTTTAAATACATTTTTTAACCTCCAAATTTCATAGCAAGACAACAGAGATTTATTTCATTGCAATCGAGTTTATTTTTCAAATGTAACTCTTCAACATAAAAAATTCAGAGGTTTGTCAATTTTTGTTCTTGTTTGCTTTATAGGTTAGTTACTTGTTGCTGCCCCGTTCTTTGCTTTTAACTTCTTTGCTCATCCTTCTATGACTTTTGAGCACGATACTTTCGCCTGAAATGTTATCTTATTTCTTTGTGTGTTACGCCCGAAGATTTTGTTGCTGCCCCTTTCTTGTCTTTTAACTTCTTTGCTCATCCTTCTATGACTGTTGAGCACGATGCTGTCACCTGAGATTTAGTCTTATTTCTTTGTGTGTTACGCCCGAAGATTTTAAAGTTTCTTGTTGCTGCCACTTTCTTGTCTTTTGACTCCTTTGCTCATCCTTCTTGGGATTTTGAGCATGATTCCTTTGCCAGAAATTTTGTCTTATTTATACTTTCTTCCTGTGTGACCTGAGTTTCTTTAAGTTTCTTGTTGTTGCCCCTTTCTTTTCTTCTTTGCGCGTGTTCTGCGCCTTTTGGGCATGGCCCCTTTCTTTTCTTCTTTGCGCGTGTTCTGCGCCTTTTGGGCATGGCCCCTTCCTTTTCTTCTTTGCGCGTGTTTTGCGCCTTTTGGGCATGGCCCCTTCCTTTTCTTCTTTGCGCGTGTTCTGCGCCTTTTGAGCATGGCCCCTTTCTTTTCTTCTTTGCGCGTGTTCTGCGCCTTTTGGGCATGGCCCCTTTCTTTTCTTCTTTGCGCGTGTTCTGCGCCTTTTGAGCATGGCCCCTTTCTTTTCTTCTTTGCGCGTGTTCTGCGCCTTTTGGGCATGGCCCCTTTCTTTTCTTCTTTGCGCGTGTTCTGCGCCTTTCGGGCATGGCCCCTTCCTTTTCTTCTTTGCGCGTGTTCTGCGCCTTTTGGGCATGGCCCCTTCCTTTTCTTCTTTGCGCGTGTTTTGCGCCTTTTGGGCATGGCCCTTTCTTTTCTTCTTTTCTTCTTTTCCTTAGCCTGTTTGTTCACTCCTCCTTACTTTCCGGCTGCACTGTTACCCTAGATGGTCGTGGGTGCTTGTGTCTCTGTAGCTTGTGTCTTAATGGTCCCCGCTGGGGCCCTGCACCTGCACCTCTGGCCAAACGTCCTGTAAACATATTTGCACATACATTAGTAAAATGTATTTCTGGCTTGAACTCATAGTGAATACTTCTCAGTTCCAACTAAATAATAACCAGCTAGACTCGTTCATGGAAGGGATCTTTGTTTGAGATTATCCTCTAATATGAGACGTACAATTTAAGGATTAAATGTCAAGTAAATATATCAATTTACTTGAAATTTAATCTTTAGATTGTAAAAAAATAATCATTGGAAAACTAAAAAACATAAGTCTAAAAGTTTGTATTTTGATTATGAGTAACCACCATTATTTTAACTCATAATGCTATGGTACATAATATTATGCCAAATTTCCGTATTTAAATCTGAAATATTTCTTTTGGCAGACCCCATGCCATTGCTTTTAAATACACATAGCATTAATAATATCCAATCTATTACTGTTTCATCGAACAGTGTTTTTGGTTTTTATGATACTCTTTACATGATACTTCCATTCTTAAACTCAATCTTTTGCGAAAGCTTTCCTAAGAAATTAAACTACACTTTAACGCTTGTAATCTCAATCAATATGAATACTTACGTCCAGCTCCTCGTTCGCAGGGTAGAAGATTTGGCTGTCGCTGGACGAGGAGCTGACGGAGGGGCTTGGTGTTGGGGCGGGTGATGGTGGTGGTGGTGCAGGTGCAGGCGGGCGCTCTCTGGTCATCCAGAAGTACCCCAGCGAGGCAGTGCAGCCGGCAGCGAGCAAGCAGAGGATCGGGTGGTCCCTGAACATGTATTTATTTTAATAAAGACAACCTTTTTTATCGATTCAATTACTAGATTTCACTGAGGGTGCATGTAAGTAGTGCATAGTTCAGCCAGTAATCGTTGGTAACAAATAAAAAGATCGCCACATAATATTCTCCGAATACCATGTGTTCTATTTCCAGTAATGAGGCTTTAATTATGAGTATAAACAGACTATGAGTGCAAAATTTACCCTATAAAACATTAAAAAAATATTAAGTGCAAGAAACAACAAGACTTTTACTTTCTTAATTATATTACATACACTATTACACTATTATTAATTAATTAAAATACATTATTAATACACTATTATACTATTATTAATTATAATACATGGAAACATAATTACTCATCCAATCATTCGTAAATGCCATTAGAATGAGTTTAGTTGATGAGATTGAAACTGCATTATGTTTAGTTAACAGTTTGTTATGAGTCATTTTTACTCAATACAACTAAAACAAACAGACAAAATTATCCTAAAATCTTACAATACTACAAACACGTTTTTTTATTATAAGACAATATGGTACACCAACATCTTTCTTCTCTTTGTGGACTCAAGGAGAGGAAATTTCCAAATGAAGAAATCGTGTAATTATCTTTAATGAAACAACATAATTAAAATGTACATTATAATATTGATAAAATCATTACTCGCCGAACAAAGTTAAGGACCATCATGAACGTGGAAAATTAGAAAATAGTATACAATCAGCAGATAAAACTTGTAAAAATAGAGGATATAAAATATGCTAGTAGTTCCAAAAGTTGTAGAAATACTCTGACCTGATGGTTACCATGGATTTGATAACGTTGTAAGTAATAAACTTTGTTACCTATATTGAACCTTTGATTGAACTCAATTTGGGAATAGATATTTTAGCTATTCACATACTTGTAGGCTGCTACACATAAATTCGTGTTAGATACAAAATCCTGAGCTAAGTCCATCTTAACAGATAAATTCAAAGTTGAATCTTAAACGTTTGCAGGTGCATTCAAAAAGAGATGCACCAATCTTCCATACCCTGAGATATTTGTTTGGAGCTTGTTGTAAGCCGGCCACCAAAGAGATCCTTCATATGGGAAACAAAAATAAAATGGAAAGTTGGTGCTAACAAGACTATTGTCTGACAACACTAAAAATAAACAAACGGTCAGGATAAGCCAGTATTTGTGTGTTCCTGAATTGTGACTAACTTGCCTAGTGTACGTAGACGGATTGTATCGGCACATTTCCAAACACAGACGTGGATTCTTTTTTGAAATTACTTTCTTCTATAAAATTTTGTACACCTTTAGTATTTTACCTAACCCGCCATGTTAAACTTCCCTATCCCAAGCGTGATGTATACAACTTCCTTACTTCTCGAGTGATGTAAAGTTGAAAAAAACTCACTCGGTGATGTAATGAAACCCATTTAAATAACATTGAGTGGATAACTTAAAAATATACCTCTATGGAGCCAACGACGTTCAACGCTAGAAATCAGCTGTGTGTTTGAATTTTATTGTTATGATTTGAAGAATTTTCCTAACCTAGCTTTTATTTGTAAATGAACCAATGAACGTTACTGTTAGAAGATGAGTGAAATTGATAATGAAGCATATTGCTCGTAATATTGTCCTGAATATTCTCGGGTCAGGTAAAATCTTGTGCGTTACACGTTACGCAATAGCGTGTTTACATCACTTCGGTGAATTATGCAACTCGCCTTCGCTCGTTGCACAACATTCACCTGCGTGATGTAAAAACGCTTTTACTACACTTGTAATGTAAATAGCTATTACCTTTCAGTAATAAATTTATTTTGATCTTACTTTTCGTCTGCAGCGACAGCTGTGATTTTTATTTGCATTTTTGTTTATTTTGAAATTAATTAAATGAATGTAAATCGTAAACTTAAAAGAAATGTGATACTAAATCTTGAAAAAGAAAGAATTACTAACCAACAGACAATATTGAACTCTAATTACTGTGGACGGACCTAGATAACAGTGAGGTAAAGATCTCATACTAGAAACGTTCTGCGGATGGTGTGACTTTCAAAGGTAGTCGGGGGAGAGGAAATAGACAAAGTGCCATAAATCATCATATCAAACAGTTACAGCTACAACTGCTCCCAGGGACAGAGAGTGCAAGCCACTGATATAAGAACTCTGACAATGGTCGACTACTTGTGTTCTGCTCACTCACAAAATATTCTTACCATGGAACCAACACAACCCTGCACCTTAATCTCAACGAAATATGAACATCCAAAGTGAATCTGTCAACACGTGGTCCACTAGAGATGACAGACGAAACCACTCACAACGAGGTGGAGCACCGGAGATAAGAGAACAAATCAATCATTGGATCATTAGACTAAGCAATTCATCGCAGAGTGTTCACAAGACTTGGGTAAAGGCAGCTTTTAAACACAAAGTAAAGGTAGGTAGATTGAATCTCCTTTCTGAATATTACACAGTAATTCAAAACCAAACGCAAGCAAGGGTCATTGAACAAGTGATAGGCTAGTGTGTTTTTAGAGCAACACAAAAACTGATCTGGGATTTTTATTTTTTACATAGATTTTGAATTGAAAAACTAGAAAATGAAAAAAACGGTAATGCACAAACTTGACTCAAATCTCATTTAACTTATTAACTTACTAACTTACTACTAAAGTGAAGCAGACCAATCATATATATGTCTATATGAACATATGTCTATCACTTAACAAAGACCTATTCACTACAAAGTGTACCTATGCAAACATGCCGTACCTACGGATATTCAGCCCAGTTAGCAAACCTTAGCCATACTAAATCTTTTTACCCTAAAACACTTAAGCAAAACATTAAAAAACACTCCCATATTCAAGGAAAATATGAATAAATGTAGGCTAAGTCATGAGCAGGTAACAAACAATTCAGTTATTCCTCCATATCAAGCAGTCAAACTTATAATGTCAATAAAATATTTAAAACTTGTATTTACTTACCGGACGAAGTCCAAAATCATCGTGAAGGATGAAATCTAGAAAGTGTAGACGTTAGAAAAATGTAAAAGTTTGGACAAAATGCAATACGAAGTGACTTTACGGACCACAGAAATAGCACTGAAAATATCGTTGCTATGGATTCGATAAAATGTACTTTAATTGTTAAAATCTTATAGAATGGCATGACGACTACCTTTGTTCATTATAGATATAAAAATCTATTAATGTATTAAAACGTGTACTATAGTTAGATCTGTATTTAATTTAAATAACATTTTCTTTGTTTTTATTTTCTTTACAAATGAAGGTGCTATGTACCAATCAGAAATTATTAATTTAGTATATTTAGTTAATTCTTTTTAAGTAATGAAAATACTGTACCGTACCATTCTCTACACATCCCAACAGGAATATTAAAGCTTTTTATATTGAACATCCTACTAATATTATAAATGAGAAAGTTTGGATGTATGGATGTATGGATGTATGTTTGTGACAAGTGAACGCGAAAAATACTGGTCGGATTGGGCTGAAATTTGGCATGATGATAGCTCACATTCCCGATTAACATATAGGCATATTCTTATTTCAAAAATCCTTTCGGGCTCCGCCCCAGTGGCTCTGGAGTTTCCCATGTTAACCTTATGAGAAATGAAATTATTGAATCTTAACAGCTGTTTCAATTAAACAAGTTGGTTCTGTTCTGTGATGTTCAATAGCATTAAAGTTACAAAAATTACCAACAGGGTGCAGCACTATTATTTCTTTTACATTTATGACAACAGCTAATTTGCAACCAAAAGGTGAGTGAGCGTAGCGAACGAACTTCAACCTGGAGGCGAGTTAGCGTAGCGAACGAGCTCCAACCTAAAGGTGAGTGAGCGTAGCGAACGAGCTCCAACCTAAAGGTGAGTGAGCGTAGCGAACAAACTTCAACCAGGACGTGATTGAGCCATGCGAACGAGATAATCTTGAAAATTAAGAAGTTAAACGGGGCAAAGCCCGCGGGTTACAGCTAGTACTGTATAAACAAGTATACCTCACATTTAAAAATAAGTATATATATACAAAGGCAGATTAAAACAAATTTGTCTTAGTATTTTTTTATGAGTTTGATAAGGATTTGTTAAAGACGTTTATATTTTGTATGTTCATAGGGATAACTGTGGTAAATCATTGAAGTTTGATGAAATTATGCTTAAAAGCGACCATAGTCTGATACTTGGAAAACCTAATCAGCTATGGTATCTATATAGTTGACTAATGCAGTTTAAATTGCAGTGTTTTGTATTGCTTGGTAGTAAGTTTTCTGTTTGGTATGGCAGTCCCTGGATAATTCAGCTTAAACGGGCAGCTAATCGGCAAGACCACCGAGAGACGATTGAAATTAGTAAATTAATTAGATTTAGATTTAATTAGAAATGTGAGACAGCTAGAAAGACACTGGTATTAATTTAGTGTGAGTGGGTGGCAGCAAATATCTTGAAGTTATTGTCATAAAAATCTAGAAGGTTGGCAAGCCATTCATAGATATGTTTGTGTTGGTAGGCCTAATGTTATATATTTTTTATTTTACCAAGAGTACAAATAAGGAACGTGCATATTACTATAGACTAACCAACAATAAGGGAGAATGTTTTATGTTTAATCTATGGTTTTATGTACCTGTTATATATATGTATGTGTATATAAATTTATACATACATATATATATATTATTATATATACATATATGAATTTGAATGGATGGTGTTTTTGGCCTCTAGGGACCTCAAAATGAAAAAGTTAATCTGTCCCGGATCCATGAGAACTACGGTAATAGCTTATTCCCTATAATATGGGAAATTCGCTAAAACTGTAAATTTAATATTCCCGTGTTATTCCTATGGATAATAAGTAAACTGTTGTAATTTGCTTGTTTATGATCATATTTTGATCAAATTTGGAAAATGCATTCATTTCATACTAAACTATTAACATTTTACAAAAAAAAATACCTTTTTACCCTCCCTGTTGCAGCAAACCTATAAGTACTCGTTAAAATAATGTTATTTAAATGGGAAATAAATGTGATGTTTTTAAGGAGACATTTTAGTGTGAATCCAATCAGGCAAATGGAAATTCGCTTGGTCTGCAGGTTTGCTGTGGCGGGGGTATTTTACATTTTATGGGATAGGATAGGATTTGTTTGGATCAGCTGTCTGAAATTGTGAAATATGCATTTTGACTTGGTTACTGGCACAACTGTTATTTCAGGATTAGTTTTGCCAACAGTGTCATTTGGAGGCTTGATTGACTATAATGCAAGTTAACTAATAAAAAAAAAATAGTTCTGTTCACAAATTAAAATTATAAATGCCTCAAATTCAATTTTATAATGTTTTAATTATAAACTTAAACTGTCATAACCTAAACAAACTAACCAAAAATGAAAAAATCGAATGAAGGTATACTAATCGAAAAAATAGTTCTGTTCATGAAATAAAATTATAAATGCCTCAAATTCAATTTTATTAAATTATATAATTAAACTGTCATAACCTAACCAAACCAACAAAACTTGCTAATAGTGACAAAATTTTAGACGATAAGTTAGTGCTACCAATGGGATTCGAACCCGGAACCTTCAGAGATGCGCTATGCACTAGACCACCGAGGCAGATGTCGTCCTATCGCATCGTTTCGGTAATGGTTTTCCCACAGACAATCAGAAACCTCCAAATGAAATGACACCTGGCAAAACTAATCCTGAAATAAAAATACAGCCTGCTCATTGAAATGTCAACACAAAGGTTAACATTGTGAGTTTTCTCGTCCTACCATGGAGACCAATCAATATTTAATTTTTGAAAACTATAGATCCGGGAGCTTATTTCAGTCCTCGACTCAATAAGTCCAGAACTTATAGATCCGGAGCTCAGCAACTTGGATAGCTTCGTTTTAAATACTTGCAACTGCAAAAATGTTCTATGTTTATTTCTGTTTGTGTGTGTGTATGTGTGTGTATAAACTGTAAATAGCCGAAAACATGGCTTGATGTGATATTATAAATACAAGAATGCTGCTGAAGATGAGCTGTAAGTAGCTCAAATCATCTACAGCATGAACTGCATTTGACACCTTCTGGCATAAGTAAGTAAAATATTACCTATGGTAAAAATATTAACTTAAAAGTGTCAAGGCTGATTCAAAAAAATTTGTTTTCACGCTTTTTTTTTGTTTTGACTCCTATACAGTTCTTTGTGTATATTTGTTTTGTGGCAGTCTTCCTCTTCTTTACCTAGGTTTACTACAATCTTTTTATGTTAGGCAAATCATGGAGAAACTGCTGGAAAATGTCCACAACAATTCCTTGAGTACCTCACTACTATTACTTGAGTACCATTACTTTACGATTGTGTATTTGATTAAAAATATCAATTATTAATATCTAATCCTAGATAGGAGCAGCAGGATGGCATGTCACATATAATAATTCAACCACACAGGCATTGAGTGCTTTAATCTTTTTATTATTTTTGATTACAAAATTATACTGAAGAAATAAACATTTATAGTAACATTGAAGATTGTATGGGAAATTTAATTATTGATTTCTTGTTAGCAAAGTCTGTGATTATCCGTTGTTTCTGCCGCAGGCTCCCATCAAAAACACCTGTACACCTGCAACAAAAAGATATATGGTTAATAAGTGGAAAATGTAATGGTTTAAAACAAATTAAAACAAAAAGGTTGAAAATATTCTTGGAAATAAATTGAAAAAATTTAGGTTTTTAGGGTCAAATAGGAGAAAAAACTAATTTTCACCCCATAAACACCCTGTCCGACCACGCTGGTCGCGAACTCTTTCGAATAAATGTAGGTTACACATTTGTACCAAATTTCATGAGTTCGTTTAGCTCTTCTACCCGACCGATTTTCATGATTGAGGTCTCAAATTGAAGGTATGCACGCACAGATTTTACATCAAGCATCGGCATATAGATATCTACAGTCCCACTCCACTTATAGGTAAACAAAATTTTCTCCCCATGTATTTCTTATGGGAGTAAAATTTGGTTTTTCTTTTCTGAGTTCGTATGTCTTTTCTATCCGACTGATTTTCATGATTGAGGTCTCAAATTGAAGTTATGCACGTACAGATTTGCCATCAAGCATCGGCATATATATATCTACAGTCCCACTCGGCTTAAACGTAAACAAAAGTTTCTCCCCATCTATATCTTATGGGAGTTAAATTTGGTTTTTATTTTCTGAGTTTGTATGTCTCTTCTACCGGACCGATTTTCATGATTGAGGTCTCAAATTGAAGGTATGCAAGTACAGATTTGCCATCAAGCATCGGCATATAATCTACTGTATTATTAGACCAAAAAACATAATTTTGATTTTTTTTTATTCATACTTCAATTTAAGTTGTATTTCACCAATTATAATTATATAATAATCCTATATATTTTTGTCTAAGAACCTTCAGTCGAAATACCGGCTTTCATTTAAGCTATTAGTTATTCAAATCGGACGAGTTTTAAGCAAACGCAAGGTGAATAACCAACACAAAAATGATGTTTATGAGGGTTTTCTATGATTAAAAATCAATAGCTCCAGTATTTTTTATGTTTTTTTTTATACGTTTTAGACTCAAAATAATCAGTAAATTGTAGTCTTTGATTTGAGCTATTGATCGTTTAAATCAATTAAATTCAAGATACTGTATTACTCAATAAAAATTATAATTTAGATTATTTCTCTGATATGATATTTATTTCATCGCTGCGAAGCAGCATGGGTAGTGCAGTCCTAATGAAATTATAATTTCATGAAATTATACCACTTGTGTGTGATTATCAGATATGTGAGTTTGGTCGCGCATCATGAATGTATCGCAATGGCTCCTCTTTGTTATAATGGTATTTAACATTCACAAAATATTTTATTTTTACTTTATAGGGAGTTTACATCTTATTTTAACAAATTATAATTATTTTTGTCTTTATGTATTACTACAATAGTACCTACGTTTTGAAATATAAAATTTTTTCCTCTAACAGAAAGTGTTCTCAGGCTTCCTAGAAAAAGCTTACTCTAAAATATTATATTAATTCTTTTCATACATTTTTTACTACATATTCTTTATTCTCTTCCTCTTTATATAAGTGTTTTACCAAGGATATGGTGTGCAATTCAGACAGAAAAATACAATGATGTATTTATTTGTATCAAAATAAGCTCAGATTTAAAATAATGAATAGGGTTTTAATTTTAAACAAATGTCAAGCAATCTTAAGAAAATAATTTTTAGCAATTTTAAAGGGAGAGTGTGCTTACTAGGGATTTCTATGTATATGTTGAAGACTATGTTTACAGGTGATTGATTATTCAGTTTGTACATTATTAATGGTAACTTGAAACTGAATGAATTAATTAAGATGAGTTATTAAAAATAACACTGAGTAGAATAGTATATTTTGTACCTAGGGTTGAAAATGAGGGTTTGCCGACTCGAGATAGTTTTTAAGTTCGAGAATTTAAAACAATCGAGACCTGCTAAACCATTTCGGTCCTTGGTACGAACGCTATTTTTCACCACGCCATACCCTATTACCACTATTCACAACAATAATAGCACACTCTCAACACAAGTACAACTTTAAGGTTATGTAAAGAATTTAAGGAATCAGCAAAAATAATAATAAATAGCTGCTAGGCAGTGGTGACAATAAAACAATTCTATTGCAATGCTATGGATACTGATTGTATATACCGTCAGCCGTGCTGCGGTTACCATAGGTTCTGGCGCAACCCGCTGGGAGCGCCATGTAGTTACTGCATACGCGCTATGTAACTACACGATGCCCAGCGGTTTGCACCAGAACCTATGGTAACCGCAGCACGGAAGACAGTCTATATTTAATTGTTTTTGTCTATGATTTCATAAGCATTCATGTTTTAAGAAAGTAAGCGGGCAGCTGATTTTGCGGCCCTAGGGATGTAAAAACCTGCTCTGTCCCCAAATGACGATGACAGCTGGCATAGCCAGCAAAACGTAACTTACAGCCACCAATTAACGTATGTAAAACAGCTAAAAACATCATAGTGGTGAAAAAAAACATTTTTTTAATTATTCTTCATAGCTTGTAAATTATTTTAATGTCACTATATTTACTTGGGCATTTAATTTAGATCGGATATTTCCATTATTCACTTCAAAACACTGCTTCAATTCAAAAAGCATGCTCAACAGTGGTACACAGCCTTACAGACCGGATGAAAAAATCACTCAGTACAAAAGGAAACATCTCATCTTTTGGTGAGTAGGTTCTTGAATAATATTAAGAAGTAAACAAAATCATGAGAAATATGGGAAAATATTTAGCTATTAAAGTAAAACTAGTGTACCTGTTGCTTGAATTCGAGCAATTGCTAAGTTTACAGGCGTTATTTTAAAACGAATAACAGTCATAATTTCTGATGACTTTAAAAATTTGACTCAAAGATTATTAAAATACTCAAGATGTACATAACGGATAGATATAATCAACGTTTAATGTAAATAGTGTTTTCTACAAATAGTTACTCATAGCCACAATAGGTTTCCAGACACGTGTCCAAAAGCTTAACAGCACGACTCCCTTCCCCATACCGCCCTGAGAAATAGTGATAATTGAGATTCGCTCTAACATTTCCTCTCCCCTTCGTGGGCAAGTTTTCATTCCTTTTCTTTCATAGTTTTTGTTTGTTTCTTTTTAAAAATTTTAACGCCTGTATGTATCCCTGGTTTTTCCTATTTCCCCAGCTACTTTTCAAAACGTCTGAATTGTTTCCTTGTCACTCATCATGTTTTATTTTCTCATCTCTAGACCTATCTTATCCAAGACTTATTAAAGTTATCTCCTATTTCTATTTTTTTTTATCTCCTGAAGTGAACAATTTATAAATATGTGACTCGTGGTTTTTCATTTCTCCACATCTACATACTTCCTCTTCCACCATGTGAAATCTTCACAAATTCGCCTTGAAATTTTCCATGCCCTATGACAAACTGCGTTTCATAATAGCCCATCTCCCAATCTTGTTCCAGTCTCTTTCTGGTGTTAGGTATAATACGAACTTTTACCTTTAAACGTTAACATAAAACACTCTGCTCCCAACGCATTTGCCACACATCTAATATCTCCTCTCTTCTGTTTCCGATGTAGTAATGCCCGCCTCCTTGCCTTCCAAAATCAACAGCTTATGCAGCGATTATCCAACAGTCCCAAATTGAATGTGAAATCTTCAGGTGGCTGTTGGAGAGCACACTTAAAAACGACGTGGGTCCATCCCATAAACGAGAAGAGGGAAACATATGGGGAATTTCACCACCATTTCCCCGATTTACTGAAAGACAAAAGAAATTTTTTCCAATATTTCAGAATGTTCCCCGAAAAGTTTTATGAACTGCTTAAGCTCAACGCACACTACAGCCAGACGCGCCGCCCCGCGCCGCGCCGAACCGCCGTGAAATAATTCCGGCCGAATAGTTTGCATGGGAATTAATGAGAGTGCGCACACTTGAGCGCGCCGCGCCGCGCAGCCGTGTCCGCCTCGGAATAATTCCGTTGCCAGAACTCTCGGGAGAAGTTGCGTGGAATTGTTCTGCTGAAGTCGGCGCGGCGCGCTGTAGTGTGCGATAGGCAACGGAACCAATTTCTGACCGCGGCCACCTTCATGTGTCTTCGTACTACCTCGGTCTAGTAATTGTGTCAAAGTTGTGTCTTGTTTTTCAATTAAAGATCTGAGCATGTTAAGTAGTTCATACAACTTTTTGGGGGGACATTCTGAAATATTGGAAAAATCTTCGTTTGCCCTCTTCTCGTTTATAGGATGGACACACGTAGTTTTTTGCCTCTTCTCCTCTTCTGATACCAGTAGGCAAAATAAAAACATATCTTCGTCCTCAGAGCTGCTCATCTTGAAAAATGACGACAAAAGTTACACTTGACAATACATAAACGAGATACACGACTGCACAGAACAGGCACTGCCCCACTGCCGGTGAAAACGGCGGTGACGGCGGCCAGTAGGGCCTATGTGCGACCTCACAGCGGAAGTTTCCATATGGCGGTGCGGCGCGGCGCGGCGCGTCTGGCTGTAGTGTGCGATGAGCTTTTAACATGCTCAGACCTCTATTGAAAAACAAGACACAACTTTCACACAACTACTATAGACCGAGGTAGTACGAAGAATGCCGTTGCCTATCGCACACTACAGCGCGCCACGCCGCCTTCAGCAGAACAATTCCACGCGACTTCTCCCGAGAGTTCTGGCAACGGAATTATTCCGAGGCGGACACGGCTGCGCGGCGCGGCGCGCTCAAGTGTGCGCACTCTCATTGATTCCCATGTTAACTATTCGGCCGGAATTATTTCACGGCTGGGCCATGCAAACTATTCGGCCGGAATTATTTCACGGCTGTTCGGCGCGGCGCGGGGCGGCGCGTCTGGCTGTAGTGTGCGATGAGCAAACCCAAACACGGAAGGGTGCTTGCTGTATTCGGCTATCAACGACAATAGTATTATTTGTATTTCGTTCTTGTCTACCTGTTAAAATTTGTCGGCCTCCTCCTATTGGCCATCCTGGTCACGTCTTACAGTCTCCATTATGTTGAACGTTTTTTGGTTATGTTTTGATTTTGTGCAAAATTTTAGTATAACCAGCTGTTTCAAATATTCCGCAGGGGGCTCACGCTTGCGTGGGTTCGTGGCCTGGGCGACCACGCGGACCCTAGCTCTCCCAGAGGGGAGGTAACTGCCCGGTGTCAGACCCGGCACTTCAGGTAGACCACAGTTATGGACGACTGGTAAGCGCCAGCCCCTTAGGGGGAGCCTCCAGTGACATTCCCTCCATTCAGGGTGGGGGGGGTGTTTAGCTCTCAGTGACGCCGTTAATTCCGCCTCTCCTCATCTACCTGTAACTGTGGTTGTGACTGAGTCCTACCTGTTGTGTTCGACTGACATTTTGTGAGGCATATCCTCGACTTTGGAAGTAGCCTCGTCCTGGGAGGTGAAATACCTAGCCCCCAGAGGGGAGGTAAATGCTCCGTGTTGGTATCGGCATTTTCAAGTTGGCCACAGACATGGTCGACTGGGCATCGGGTCCCAGTGACATTCCTTTATCCAGGATGGAGGGGTGTTTAGCTCTAGGAGAGATGGAAGTACATCATAATCTCTAACCTACCTGTGTCTGTGGTTCTTTGGGCTTCGGCCTGCTTGTTATGTGCGACCAGCATTCAGTGGGCAAATCCTCGACTTTGGAACTAACCTTTCCTGGAGGTGAAAACGGGCAAGTACCCGCAGCTCACGGGGACACTCAAGGGCAACGTAACTTTCCGCAGTGTGAGGGCAACGGTTTGTAGGTACTTATGCAAACCTATCCCTGTCTCTGAGCACGGACGGTATGGTTATCTTGAGTGTGGGGGGTTCTTCCCGGAACCTCAATTGAGTCAAGGGTGTCGCCACCTCTGGTGGATAGGTTCATCCGGGTGGGTCCCACTTCTATACCTGCCTCCTTTTGGGAAACCCTGATGGCCTGGCAGTGATGTTGGGTCTGACGGGCAAACGAAGTAGATCGGGTGCTGGGTCCGAGCCCGCCGGGGGTATCTGGGGATCTATCGCTCTGGATATCTCTGGTTCCCAGCAATGGGTCAGGCCTCGATCGGGCAGCGGTGTAAATGGGAGGTTGGGGTTCCCCCCGTCAGCGTGCTGATGGTCCCCTTCCTCCTGGCTATTGATGGCGGGTTCTGCCTGTCAGGGATTAGATAGGTCCCGAGTGTTGCTTGCACTAAATGCGTCGGGGCGCTCTACTATGGACCTCTAGGTTCCGACCTAGTGGAACCCAGGTGGAGTGACGCTTAAACAAGCAGCCGGAATCCCTGGTTAGGATTGAGGGGCAACCCTCTCTCCGAAGGGTCTGCTTCGGCAGCCGGCGAGCCTGATGACCTTAAGTCATCCGCCCATGATGTGCTAAAGGTTGATGCGTAAGCTTCGGCCTACATCATGGGGCCCGGGTATGTCCTGAAGGATAGGTACCGGGTAAGCAGTCAGGGGGCTTCGGCTCTCATGACAACAAATGTAAAATGTAAATGTAAATGTAATGTTTCAAATATTAGTATCAATTTGAAAGTATTCATCCTATTCAAATGTAAACAAACATTTTCTCCCTAAGAATCTATATATTAATTTGAAACTGTTTTTCTTTGTCAGAGCTATTTTGAGAGAACGGCTGGGCGTAGAAACTCGGTAGAGGTGTCTAAAGAAAGGTCTTGGTCTGTAGATGAGCCATCAAAAGAGAAACATGGTGAATTCCCTTGGGGCTCTGCCCCAGTGGCCTTTGAATTCCCATCCCATGTTATTTTTATGGAGGAAAACGGGGTTTTTGTCACAGCTAATTTGAGAGAACAGCTGGGCGTAGAAACTTGGTAGGAGTCTCTAAAGAAAGGTCTTGGTCTGTAGATGAGCCATCAAAAGAGGAACGAGGTGAATTCGCTTGGGGCTCTGCCCCAGAAGCCTTTAAAGTTGCCTCCAGATTTGTTTACATTACGACCATATGCATAATTCTACACTACTTTTTAATGAAACAGCTGTTAATATTTAAATTGTGATTTATTGAATTTGTCAAAATGAAGTACAGTATTTGCAATGGGGTTTTCTGATTTTAAAATGGATTTTCTTCTGCATCGTGTCATGTTTTGCAATATAATGTTCTATTACCAAATCAGTGGAAGATCCTATTATCACAGTAACTCTTTTCTTTTGGAGTTAACTTATATCTATTGTATGGGTTGGTTTCTGCCTTTTTTACCACTTCTTGGAGATTGTACGTAGGTGATATTCGTTGGCATATTGCATCTGTAGACGAAACTTGGGTTGGTGTATAGAATGGAAAAGAGTGAGAAATCCTGGACAATTTTATATAGGCTAAAAATAAAACTGAAAAACAATGGAAACATAGAAATAGTCATAGAACACAACTAAGTAGAAGAATAGAAATAATGTTTTTTTTTCATTTATAATCGTTATTATAGACAACCTAATGCGGCTATGAGAGGGAAAAATTTGTAGAAACACTAAAAAACAAGATCAGCTTTTTGAGAAAAGATAAGATGTTTACAAAAGATTTTGATTATATCTAAATGTTGTGTAGATCGTGAGTATTTCCATAATCTTCGTGAGTCGTCTGTAATGCTTCGCAATTGCTCGAATTCGAGCAACAGGTACACTAGTAACATGGTAAATTTGAAGGCCACTGGGGCAGAGCCCTGATGGAATTCCAAAGTTTTTTTTTTTTTTTTTTGATGGCAAAACTACATGCTAAGACCTTTCTAACGACACCTTGGACATGGTGATGGTAGCACCACCACTCCAAAACAATTATGACAAAAATATGCCTAGCGTATTAAATATATAGATGTCAGCATGATTAAATTACGTTTGTTCTATGATTATTATGATTTAGGGATAGTTTTAAACAACCTTAAATTATGATTTTATGACAATTCCTTGTTTTAATAATGAAATCTGCTTGAAGGACAGCCGAGCTTCAATTCATAACACCAGAAAAAAGCACTACTTTTGATTTTACCTCAAGTCTAGGAGTAAATTTAAACCAATCATTATGAGCAGTTTCAGATTTAAATTTTTTGCCTATTCAAGAGATTTTTAAAGTAACATCTTTAAAAACTGTTAAAGTATTATTCCACAATAAATACTAGTTTACTTATCTAAATCTTACTCACTGAAAACATTTTGTAATAACACAAAACACAATTGTTTGTGTTGAGCACATTTATTTGTTTATTGTGCTCTTAACAATGTGCTGAAATCAGTTTTATATTTTCAGTCAAGGGTGTTTGCACACAGAAGAAATGTTTCAAACTGAATTTGAACCCAATAAATAAAAATTGGAATGTGCAAGCCATATGGTGTTCAACGAAATCCTACAGGCTCAGTAAAGGAAATCAGATAAGGCACATAACATACTCTATGTACTGCTGGAAAGCAGCTAAAACTAATTTATATGGGTCAAGTTATAAAATAGGAATATACGGATTTGATGCGGATCTTTTGCTAGAAGTAGATGCAGGCCCAGTTGATTGCAATGAGGATAATGTTTCTTACTATATTGGAGTAGCAAATACCAACAAGATATTTATAATTTGGAACAACAAATGTGTGGTCTATGAAGTAGGTGACATTATGGATCCTGCCAGAGAAGAAAGGTGCTCTCGTTTTCTTGAACATGATTCGTGGATAAAGGTATGTAATCTTCAAGATGAACTGCAGGTTGGCCAGACACCCCCGCCTAACCTGCAGACTAAGCGAATTTGCTCGATTGAATTTTCACTTAAATATTTGATTGAACATGTCAGATTTATAACCTATTCAAAAAAGATTTTAATCATTTTTACTCGAGTTATTGTGCTAACGGTGATACCTTTATATAATATAAATATATATGCATTAATTTAAATATATGGTGTCTTTAGTAGTCTAGGGACATCTGAACGGAAAAGTAAATTGTTCTAGGTCTAGATCTTACCATGAGACCTATACGGTAACAGCAAATAACATTAGGATTAACTGGTGCTTAGGTTTGCTGCTACAGTGAGGGTAATAAAGTGTGTTTTTTAATAAAATGTTAACAGCTTAGGATGAACTAAACCAATTTGCCAAATTTGGTCAAAATATATCCATTCACAAGCAAACTATATACAACAGTTTACTATTACTCTCCATAAGAATATTATGGGAATTGCATTTATATTTTTAAAACTTTCTACGTTTAAAAAACTAAATTATTTGTTTTTTAAGCTCTACAAAGGGTTGAAGAAACCATTTTTAGAAATTGGGAAATTCTACGTTTTATTGAGGGCCAAAAATGAGAACAACCAATTTTTAACCCGTAAAACCTCCTAGGTGGTTTGAGGAGAAGTTCTCCCAATACCTTTTTTGTATATATTTGCTAAATCAGCTTTTGAGCTATTATTTTAAAGGTAAGGGCTTTGACTATTGATACAACTTCAGTATCCAATAGTCATGGTAAGGGTCAAGTGGAGGGGATAGATTTCTTCCCCTAAAACCACCTAATTATTGTGAAGGAAGTATTTTAACAGCTTATCCTTGTCGAAAGGAACAAAAAAATTTAAATGAACCTTGGTCTGACCTTTATCATTAAGCTATTTTGGCGTAATTTGTGATATTTTTTTTAATGACATGTTTTTTTTCAGTTAATTTGACATTATAAACCATATATGAAAGACATTAAAAATGGTATCATTTGAAAGTATGTTAAATTTATTTCAAATTTAACACAATAATACTAAAGTAACTCTTTATACAATGATAAAAATAGCTTTAAATTTAACATTTATTTTTATTAAAATTTCTTTAAAATGTATGGCTAAAGAAAGTCAGTTAAATGTTTGGTACTCTTATATTCAATTAAATAAAAAACTATACCTACATCTATCTTCAAAATGACGTACCTATAAATATTTTCTATCTGATTTAAGGAAAAATTTAGCCGAAAAATAAAGTAGCAATGCTAATGATGTTTCATGACGTTTTTATTTGTTTAATATTTGTTTAATTTGTTTAATATTTGTTTAATTTGTTTAATATTTGTTTAATTTGTTTAATATTTGTTTAATTTGTTTAATATTTGTTTAATTTGTTTAATATTTGTTTAATTTGTTTAATATTTGTTTAATTTTTTTAATATTTGTTTAATTTGTTTAATATTTGTTTAATTTGTTTAATATTTGTTTAATTTTTTTAATATTTGTTTAATTTGTTTAATATTTGTTTGCAGCAATGGCCAGAAACATCAATAACTGGAAACTACAAACTACAAATTCTACAATGATAATATTATACATGAACCCTCTGGCGCAGCCTGTTCAATTGTAAAATGCATTACTGTATTCAATTTTATCTATTAAATATTTGACCAATAACTTCTTATAGTTTTGCTGTTGAGTTTTCTTTTTCATTTTTATTTACCTAGCAAGAGCTGTAATAGATATAGTGAAGGAGACCATAAGAACTAACTGTTTTAGCAAACAGTTTCCATGGATCAGCTACTTTTAAAGTCACAATCTTCACTTTTACCATTGTTTACATACTTTCCCTAACCCAACTGTTTTACACTACCCCAGACAGCTGGGAGAAACTAGACACAAAATAGTTGACTTAACAGCTTACTTGTTCATAGCTTACTTGTTACTATACGCCTGGGGCCCATTTCACAATAAACTACAAGTTACAACTTGTAACTTGTAATTTCCATTAGATTTGCATTGGGCGATCAGCTGATTTACTAATAATATTAGTTTGTACTTTTTTATGAAATGGGCCCCTGGGCTTTAATATTATCAGGTAAGCAACCTGAACTAAATTCCAGTTCGGGGTAGCAGAATTTTTATCCCCCTGGAATTTTACGCCCCGAGAAAAACTGACGTCACAGCCTAGGGGGCAAAATTTCGGCCGCGAACTTTTGAGTTGCACAACCTGAGTTGAATTATCTAAAGGTGGAATCAAACGCATCCTTTCACGGTTGTGAATTTTTAAAACAAATTAAATTATAAAACCTAGAGTGTACGGGCCGGATTTTTACCCCCAGAATTTTACCCCCTGTCCAGATATAGAACTTGATGAGAATAATTAATTTTGTTTATAATAGGTATTTTATAGAAGTTTAATCAATAAGGCCTAACTGTTATTTACCGCTGTTTATTTTATTTGTTGTAGGCAAATTAAATGTGTAAACAAAATGTATAAATAATTCAAAACATGTATATATCTAATATATAAAATTCTCGTGTCACAGTGTTTGTCTGCAAACTCCTCCGGAACGACTTCACCGATCGTTATGAAATTTGGTGTGTAAATTCTGTAGGTATGCGAATCGGACGTAAACTATTTCCCGTTTCGAACTTCTTAAAAGGGCTCCGCCCCAGTGGCTCTGGAGTTTCCCATGTTAACCTTATGAGAAATGGAATTAATGAATCTTAACAGCTGTTTCAATTAAACAAGCTGGTTCTGTTCTATGATGTTCAATAGCATTAAAGTTACAAGGATTACCAACAGGGTGCAGCACTATTATTTCTTTTACATTTATGACAACAGCTAATTTGCAACCAAAAGGGGAGTGAGCGTATTTTAATTTAATTTAATTACAAAAATTTATTATTTTCAAAATTAATTATTCTTGCCAATTTCTATATCTGGCCTGGGAGAAAAATTCCAGGGGGTAAAGTTCCGGGGAAATAATCCAGGGAGGGGGGGGGGGGGGGGGAAATGCGGAGCAAAATTTTGGGAATAAAAAATCTAGTACATCTTTAGCTGTCTAAACCATAGTTATACGGACAGGGGGTAAAATTTTGGTTTTATTTCTATATCTAATACATCACGCTCTGTCTATTTTCGTTAGACTCCCAAATTCGCGGGGGTGAAATTCCGCCTGCGAACAAACTTGAGAGCGCTCAGATGACTATGTCATAGAGACGTCAGCTCTGTTCAGGGGATAAAATTCCGGCGACCCTCCAGTTCATACAATTCCTGTAAACTCTATCAGAGACCTATTCATATGTATGTTTTATTACAATAAAAATTCCTACGGATTGTTGGTCCACATAGATGGTATGTCTACTTCAGTTCCCGAAAGTCAAATGCTACTATAGTACTCAATATACAGCTTCCTACTAAAATTACCTGAGCCACACTGTTGAGCGCAGTTGAGTACGCCGAGGTTGCCATATGTTTGTCCGTCTGTGCCGCAGACTGGAGCGTATTGCCTGGTGAACTGGCAGGGACAAGATACAGCAAACACAATACGGTTTGAAGGATCCCGAGGCGGAACTCTTGTAGTTGTTTCATTTGTGGAGGGATTAATTACTGGATTTTGACCCTGACCACTTGTAGGCTGTACTCCACTACCCCCTTGGACACCGCTGTTTTGAACATTCGAGCCAGGTCTTTGTGGGCGAGAATTTGTGGGTCGGAAGTTATTTTCATCGTTGGGTCTCACGTTGTCTCCAGGCCTTGGTCTGAATCCCTGTCGGTTATCTGCATCTTCACCTGCAAAAGTAAAATAAGCTTACGACTCAAAAACATCAAACAACGTAATGCTTATTTTGAGAGGTAAATTAAATGTTTTTTATGAAATCTTCATTGAGTAAATGAAATATTCTAAGCAAAATAATAATTTGTAAATGGAGGCAAAGGAGTGTGTTTTATCTCATACTAGTTTCAATAATAATTTTTCCTTCACCTTCACTTTGGCAAACAAAATTGTTATCGCTAATCAGATTATTCTAGAAATTAATTATTCATTCAATAAGCTTGGATGGTAAGATTGTTCATGTAAAACTTAGTGCACAGCTGGAGCTGGTTGTTCCAATAACTCATGTCCAGACCGGTCCAGACTCATTGGTTTATTTGGAGTCTACCTCAAGTTGCAGGTTACCTATCAATAAAGAAAGTTGGTCTCTTTTTTAAGTAGAACTTTTTTTGTCTTTTGGATATTCCAATTCCTTTACCACGCAAAGAGATAACATTTTTATAATTTACTGATTTTCTCTATGAAATAATATATATTCTGAAATAAATATTCTGATGAGCCCTTAAATTGTATACTAAAATGCTCAAATTGATCAGTAGGTAACAACTAATAAATAAATAGGTTGAATTACTATGTTGATAACTTTAGAAAAGATAGACTAATGAAACAATTTAGTTTATATTTATAGTAAAACCTTTGAAGACTTATGTTACAAGAATCAGTACTAGAGATCTTAAATTAATAGTCATCTCTTAAAACTGAAAGCTTAAAATATATGAGCTGCAGAAAATTAGTAAGGCTGCTTCACAGAGCATAGAATAAATATGATTATTTATAAATAAATAATAAATAATAAATAAATAAAAGTTATTCTATGCTATGTGGGCTGCTTCTAAAAGTTTTGATATTTATGTTTGGCTTTCAAATAGGTGTTCATCATCGATCATGAAATACATTCAAAATTTGAATTCCACCTTTCAAAGGCTGACATAACTGCTGAAAAGTTTAATGAATAAGGATAAGATAGTCAGGGTGCACTTCGTTTTGCCTAATTTTACAACTAAAAATCCAGATATACATATATATGGCGTCCCCATCTTAAATAATTGATTGATACTAAAATATGTAACCAAGAGAATACGGGTTGCCGGAAGACTGTCCCCCGGAAAACTACCCCCCCAAGCAGGTTCCTACGTCATATTGACGTCAGAGACCGGGGGGGGGCAGTTTTCCAGTCACGGACACTCAAATTTAGTTGTCAAACAATTCTAATCTAACCTAACCTAACCAACCAAACTTGCTGTAACATTTCGAAAATCTGTTTTATAATCACCACATGCCTTTTCTATTATCCAACGGAATTACTCGAATTATAATTTAAATTAGATAGCATGATTTGTCAAGGGGGGGAGTATTCCAGTCGCGGACACGGCTTCCATATTGGTTAGTTAGCAGATTTTGTGACGTCACGTTTCACCTGGGGGGGTAGTTTTCCGGGGGATAGTATTCCGCATCCCCGAGAATACATTATTCTACTTTTTTATTTTTTTTTTTTTAACATACAAATGTTTGCATAAAAGGTTAGAACGATTGATTGATCAAATATTTTCTCGATTATCAGTATTATCAATTAGTTTTGAACTGCAAAGGGTCAATGTTCATTGTCATAGCATCTTGCTTAATCAATATAAACAAACACAAGGCTGATTGTTAAAAAATAAATTTAACCCAACCCACTTGTTTCTGTTTTAAAATGCTTTTCAAAAACTGTGTTATATAATACATTTTATACAAATTTAATTATTGTCAGTGATATTAAATAATAAATAAATAATATCACTACCGCACCAAACCTGCAGACTAAACAATTTTCCTTTTACTAGATTTTGTTTTTTACTAAAATATTTCGTTTAAAAACATGTTAGATTTATTCCCTATATATATATATAAAGAGTACTAGTTTTGCTGCTACTGGGAAGGATAATAAAATCTGTTTAAGTATCTACCCTATAAAGATAATTAGAATAGGTGGTTTAAATTAATAAATTTGCCAAAAATATATCCATAAACCAGCAACTTCATACAACCATTTATTTTTTGCCCATAGAAAAGAAGAGTTAAGAACAACACGCCTATTTGAATTTTGAATGTACAGTTTTTATTTTTGGAATTTTCTCATACCTTTAATCGAACAACAACACTTCAATAGCCTGAACTAAATTATCTGTTTTTGTAAGCTCTACACGATGGTTTGAATGTGAATTTGGAATTTTCATATTTTAAGGGTAACAATTTGATAAAACCTATTTTTTGCAAATTTCCAAACCCCTTTACACCCTGTTTCTATAACCCGATCTTGCTGGTTTGCGAACTCATTCAAAGTATATCCAGCCTGACAACCTTACACATTCGTACACAATTTTGTCTAAACCAAACCAGATTTTTAAGAGTTATCATGTTCACGGGAGACACACACAAATATAATATACATATTGTACATGTAAATTTTAGTGAATAGTGTTTTTGACCTCTGGGGACATCAAAATGAAAAAGTAAATGATTCCCAGGTCTATGTCTTACTGTGCCACCAGCCCTACGGTAAAAGCTTTCTTAGTAATTCACTAAAAATCAGCATGTGTTATCTAACTGGGAGAATCTAAAAAAATAGTCATATATTTCATAGTTTTCCCAATATTTGAATTACTGTATGTATCTTTAGGATTATATCTCATCCTAAAATGATTTGTGAACATTTTAAAATATTTCATCCATAGAACAATGAGACGAAAATGGAACATGAATCATCATAGTCACTGTTGTATCATTTAAGTACTAGTACATGAGTACGTAAGTATTGTAGGTCAATTGTAAATTTACAAAAATAAGCAATAATTTATATTAATA